AACTTTGTTATTTTTAATAGTATATGATAATTTTCGAAAAATAAAATAATTTTAAATTTTTGTTGATATAAATAGGTACAGTAGATTTAAAAAATTTGTTTTGGTAATATATAATTAATTTGGATAATAATTTTTTGCTTTTTATTTAGTATATAGTAATAGTAATAATAGGAATAGATTTTATTTTATTTTAATAAATAAATTAATATATTTTATAATTTATAATATTTATAATATTATTTAAATAGTTAAATTTTTTTATAATATTTTGTAATATTTATTAAAAAAGTTATAAGTTTAATAGTTTAAGTCCTTTTAAATATAATACGTGGTCTGTGCCCTAAATTTAATTGTTTCTTAGTGGATGCAGTACGCCAAAACATCTTGTATTTAGCATTGGTGTTTCCCCAAGATTCAGGCGCTACTGTACTGTAACTTAGCCATGGGACCCCGTCCCACGCGAACACCACGCAGCAAGCGCAGTTAGACTTACATATTCGGAAACTCCACTTCCAGTCCCACTCTTTTATCGAACCGATTTAAGATCTCAACCTCTTAGAATTGATTCTTTGGAGGGCGCACCTCATCCCAAAGCTATCCCAGAACCTCAGCCCAAAGTCTAACCCAATCAAGCAAGTGTGGACCTTCTTTCACCCCAATAGTACTAGCGCATCCAAAACTCGACTACCATTTTATTAACATTATATTTATACAAATATATACTTTTATACATTATTATATTTAATGAAATATAAATAATTTTATATAATTAATTAAAATCGATTAATAATTAATTATTAATCGATTACGTATTAATTTTTAATTAATTTATAATTAATTTATATAAATCAAGTAAAAATAAAGAATAGGTAAAAGCATACGTTTAATTGATTAAATGTCAAGCGCTATAATATAGGGACTTAATGGCTGCAACGCGCTGTAATTACAAGGCATTTAGGCTTATATTTAATGAGACACCAGAGTTCACCCCAAAGTCACCTGATGTAAAGCTCACCCCAAAGCGGGGACCATGTCAATTGTAACCAATTAGAACTTTGGATCCAAGGTCTTAGCTTTTGCCAAATCGGGTTAGACTTTGGGCTGAGGTTCTAGGATATCTTTGGGATGAGGTGTAGACTCGATTCTTTGTATCCACATCTTCCCGCTATGGTACCTTTTCTGCTCTATTGCATCAACCCCTGGGTTTGTAGGATGCGCGAGATGCGCAAACCGCAAACTAGAACTACATACGTAACGCTCCAACTTCGAATGACAAAGTACAGACCGTATATACTAATCAATCCATTTGATATATGATATACCTAAGGATTATGCCTCGAGCTATTAGACCGCCGTATATGAATTAGGTACCAATGGTCATGCTATCGACCTAATTTACTAGCCCCCTTTATCGTGAACTACCACTAAACAAACACACTTCTGTATTAAGACGAAGTACTCGAGCTTGTCAATATCTGCACAGCAAGCCCTAACTTCACACCGATATTTCTTGGGTATTAATAATGTATTTCCAGACGTAGAGCTAGCTCCCTACGGTATGGTAGTGCTTTTGCACATATACACGGGGAAGCCAAGGTTTGGCCAAGAGAACAAACAGCAATGTAATGCGCCTCCTACTCCATAGTCGCCCGAGCTTTGATCCCTCTATCCTTAATTAATACCTTCCCAGAACCAATGAGTAATGGTTATGCCAGAATCCAGAGCGTGTAATACTTTAAAATGGCTTCCGGAACTGCTCCAGGAGCATCAGCGAGTCTCGCAGTCTCTCGGCAGCTTTTTCTTCTGGCGATGAGCTGCCCAGCCTTTGTTCTATCCCCGGTGTAAGTTTTTGTCTTTATCCAAACGTCCCATCCACGTGCTCTACTATGGTCTCGAGGACCTGAGCACTCTTACCTGGTGACGGGGACGGAGTCCCTCCCGCAAGACTGGTTGTGGTGGCCTTGCCGTTAGCGGCGGCAGCTCGCCGTTGGATCCTCGCGCATTCCGGGCATGGGGTATCTTTTGGTCTCAGGGCGACGCGGCGGTTGCATTGCAGCATCCCGGGAGGCAGCTTGGGTTGTTTATCTGGTAGGAACTTGGTCTTGTCTAGAACCATGTCATCTTTAGGACCGCATCTCCTGGCAACGTGGCAGGGGGATGTGTTCTGGTATAATCGGTGGTTGCATCCCCGGAAGGTGTTCCAGATCTCGATGCACATGGTTCCTAGGTGTAACTCGAGTGCAGGAAATGACTTGCGGTAGTGGTACGACGCTTGACTGCAGGAAATATTACGAGATGTCGACGATGCGATAGACGAGTACGCGGTCGGAAGTGGAGGGGGTTTGGTTGCCTAAACTGTTTGGATAGCATCGGCGAAACGAATGATTTAAATAAGGCAATCGATGCCGATTTGTGTCAATGAAAAACTGTACTGTGGGTAAAAATGGTGAAGGCGACGACGTGGGTTGAATGCGATTTGTGTGCACTCACAAATTTTAGGCAAGTCTCTTGAGTTGGTCGCGTCGTCTACTTCGTCATCATTGTAACCAGATGGTACCTATTGTGCGTAATACATAGTGAATAGGATAAGTAAAGTCCCCCAAGTAGAGTACAAAGACATTTCCACATTGTCTGGAGGGCGAGTTGGCTATTCTGGGCTTTTTTGTACTACAACATTCTGCAGTGAAAGGGCGAAGCGTCATATATAAAGATGAGATAGAAGGCTATTGATAGTAGTATCACAAAGGTATTACTCCTTTGATGCTCTAATATTAGATGTTTTAAACCAGACAAACTATAGAAACAGTTACTTGAGACCACGAGGCAGTGACTATTATGCCAGGTTGTTCGTCAGTTGTTTGCTCTGATGTGAAGCCGCTCATGGTCAAGATTGGTTGTATCTGTTACCTGATATCACGCTGTAAGGGTTATATTCCATAATAATCATCAACAACTCATATTCCAGCTATTGACTAGGTGGTATAAGCAGTTATGACGAGATTCTTTTGGAGCCCTTCATTGCTGATTGCGCTCATCCCATCTCACGAACCCCTCCCCTTTCCTTTCCTATGGAATATCTGCTCAATAAAAACTACATTTTTTATGCTTTGCTCGTTACCTATAATCATACATGGTTGAAAACTTGTTATGTTAGAGCCTAGAGTCATTCAAAAGTTTCCGTATCATACCTTTTGATACTATAGAAGATATATATGACTACCTAGACGCTATGAAGGTATACAATACAACGACCAAACCATACTCTAGAACACGCTTCAGAGCAATACTTTGAACCACTGATTCCATGGTCGACCTTTTATCCTTGACACCTCTCCAAATCTCGTTACCCCTATTTATACCATAACGTATTATCAACGCCAACTCCTAGCCCAGGGTTTCAATCGAGATTCAAGTTATGGGCATTTCTATCACCATTAGGGCATCGGGGTCCTCCTAATCTTCTGTTCATCGAAGAACCACAAAGGCGACACCGTCCGCGAGCCTCCATACTATGATATCGACACGGAGATTGAGCCATCCTTTCGTGAGGCAGGTGAATACTAAGTCCTTGGATCATACTGTCCGGATGATCCATACCCCGGTCGTCGTGTAAGTCCCTACCATTACGTTGATCGTACCTTATGACTTCTCTTTCTTGCATGTTCGCTTGGTCTCCCGGGATGTCTTCAATTTGATGTATTCTCCTTGTAGGTCCATGGGAGGTATTCCCTCTACTTCGAAGACCTACTGGGTGATATTGTGATTCAGGCGCGCTAGGTTCGAGATCTGATCCCCCTATACCGGCCCTAACGGTATTTCTTAGAGACCTGGGATATCTAGTCCTTGTGCTACGCTGGGTGTAACGCCGTTGGCGTGAAACTACTCGGCCTATCGATGTATTATAACCGTGTCTTTCTCTACGCATCCTGCGCCTGTCTAATAGACGTACGGGTGAGCGGCTTGCCCTTTCTATCTCGTTTCCCAAAGTCAATTGTCGACCCAGGGCCTCTACTGGAGCATAGTTCCTGGAGTTGGGTCTTGTAGGTATTGGTTGGACCGTACTTGACCTTGACCTTGACCTTCTCGTGATAATGCAGGACGTCTCGTCTAAGTCGATTTCCTCTACGTCGACGTCTTCCATCAATACGTCTTGTACATCACTCTGTGGTAGGGGGTACACTCTAGTACAAATGAAGCATTCGTATGATTCCAACCTGGTGACGATGCAGTCTATTTCTTCACATTCGTTACGCGCGAGGCAATACTCGATCTTATCATGGCTCGTCGTAATGTTTCTGCAGTTTACGCAAAGTGTGCGGGTTCTATGTAACCAGCACATCTTGCTGTGTTCGATTGAAAGCGAGTGGTGTGTTGGTAAAAATCGTTGGGATTGGATATCAATATGAGTATGCTAACATTCCTTCTTTTATATCTAACGACTGACTGGGAAGAATTGTACTTTATAGAATGCTGATTTCTAAAAGCGAAATAGGTAGTTCGTAAAAGTTGGTATAGTTAGAAAAATAGAACCCATAAGGAGGACTGCTTTAGATACCTTACATATTACACAATTGCACCTGTCTCCTGATTTAAGAAGGTATAGACAAGTTACGGAAGCCTCGCAGGTTCCTACTATACGTTATTTTAGATACAGATATTAGCAAGTGCTCTTCCCAAGCCAGAACGACCTTGTAGCTTACCAAGAGTTTATACCGAAAGTGAGCTAAAAGACAAGAATATAGTATATAGTAATCAGAGATATCATATTGGTATTTACTTGTTGAATAATAACAAAATGAACAAATTTTTAAAAAAAAAACCAACCCAGGCACCAAACCTATGCTCGAAAACCACAACGCCGTTTGCACATTCCAAATAATTAACGAATGCGAGGGTATCCCTATTTCCTACCTGACGTAAAGCCAGACTAAATGCTTTAATCCATAATCCGTTCAACTCCCTCTCCTTAGACGCATTATATCCATACGCTCATTCGTTCATTATTCCCTGCCAATGACAGTGTCCATATTACCCATAAGGGCGTGGACCTGGACCGTCGAACCGGGACCACCTGCGCCCTTCTGGGCTTCCAGCTTGGATCCCGGCCAACCTCCAATAGACCTAATGATCTTGACATCCCTTCCTTTGACCTTTAGCCTGCCACTCGTTGTCTCGGCGCTTAAGTATCCCTCCCATGCCTGCGGATATCGTAGTCCAATGTCACCGCTAGTGGACTTGTGAAGCGCTTGTAGGCAGTCAAGCGGCCTGCCGCTAACCAATCCCCTGTCTCCGTACCAAACCGGCTCAAGCACGCGTATGGCTGTAGTGCCACTCGTCGTTGCTGTCTCCAGCTGAGCGGGTTGATCCGGTGATACCCTGTCTTCGTTCATCACAGGAAGTAAATCAAGAGCAATGTCGCTAGCAGTACTCTTGAGTTCGATGCCAGCGCCAAATGCGAAGGCACCATGGATACCTCCGGAAGTCGACTTGATATCTACAAGATAGTCGCGAAGCGGGATTTGCTCTCTCAAATGCACCGGCTCTGTGGCATAGACAGTGCCGGATATCGAGCTCAAGGATAGGACAGCAGCCTTCGGGTCCGTTTCGAGTTCTTCCTTGGGCGTGATCGACACTGTGATGTGGCCGGAGGTCGTGTGCAACCCTAGCATATCGTAAAGAGGCCAGTTGCCTTCGATCTTACCCGACGTGGTCGTGATCTCGATAATACGAGAGTCAAGCACGTACGAATCTTTAGCAGGGATGAAAGTGTACTCCGGAGCCGATAGCATAAAGCCAGTGTTGTTGTACGAGGTAGGGTGGTCCGAACCGGATGTGATATCCCCTACGATCGAAGAAGCCCTAGTGTAACCCGCCACGTGGAGAGATAGATCGTCTAAAAATAACATATCAAGATGGATTGAGCCCAGTGACAGCACTCCTATCTCGGCGTTTTCGGGCACCCAGATGGTCGCTCGCATTTCGACGCAGGGCCAGATGTTCGGGTTTAGGGAGTTGTACTTCTTAGGTACGCTCACCTTCAAGGCCTGGGCTTCTTCGTCTACGAAGACGTCGAGTAGGACACCCTTGTCATTAGTGGCGATCTCCAGTACCAAGCGCGGGCTACCTCCGGCATCAAGCCTTCGTACATTGACTTGACCGGCAACGCGCACCTGGGTATTTCCGGAGTGTGCGTGCTGATCCTCTATGAAAGTAATATTGTGGTTCCTATCAAAGTTGAGGCCTAAGATCTGATCCTCGAAGCGATGCACTGCATTATCGCAATATGTTGGCGGGAAAGGACCGGCGACCCCAGGCGCATCGGGTCCGGGTCCAGACACGGGTTCCTTTACGGACTCGGGCGGTGATCCTTGGACGGGCTGCGCCCCAATAGTTTTCCTCTGCGTAACCATATTAGCGACAGGTTCCGACCGATGCCAAGAAAAAGATGAAGTTAGATAGTCCGGCTTACATGATCATCTTCTTTTATAATCCGTACAGAATTTGCTAGAAATCCGATCGAGACAACCAGTACGATCAAGCCAAGCACTAGGGTCCTCCAACCGAGCCACGTAGGCAGCCGTCTCCTGACTCGTCGAGTCCAGTGCGGTGTGTTACCAAGTTCTTCGTCGATTGGTTGGCCGATGCTCTCGGGACCTCTGGCTAGCAGCCGCTCGTTCTCGATGATTTCCTGCACACCCATGGTAGGGGTAAATGTGTTGTAGCTTCTAGATTGGCGTTGTTGGTTGGTGGACGAGAGAGGGGAGATTGGCGATGGTGAATACGCCGGTGGAGCGTCCGAATATACGGAAGGAGTCCGTCCTCGTGTTGGATATATTCTGAGAGGGGTGTATGATGATGACGAGGGAGAGTACGTATGCGCAAACGCGGAATTGGATTGTTGTTGACGTGGTGCGGTCGAACTAGTAGGATATTGCTCCGACTGACTAGCTTGTTCGGTAGTGCCCGTTCTTGTAATATTATGGTTGTAATTATGATAAGAGTCTTCTATTCTCTGAGTATTTGATGATGACCTTTCTTCTTCTGCCTCTCTTGCTTTTGATTCAGCGCCAGACTCAGATGTCTGCTGGAGCGTGGGGTCGGGAACTAAGACGTTTGGTACGTTTGGAACAGCATGGGACGAGGAAGATGAGGCGAAGTAACCATCCGAAGGCGATAATTGATCTGCGTAGTCCTCGCCATCTGATTCATCACCCATAGAGTACAAGTTATCGGCGTAAGGCATGGTTTCTTCGGTTCGTTGAAACGGTCTTGGCGGAGAATGAAACTATCGCCAAGCTGTTTTGTTACACTCGAAACGCTCGTCTGTGTCTTACCGCACCGGCAAAATTAAGACGTAACAAGCTAGTGGATAATTACAGAGAATAATTAAATTATAGGGCTGGTTTCTTTCCTCTAGAATAAGATGTAAAATGATTCCATCTCGTGTGGGTGATGTTAAGGGAATATCACAGAACGTGGTGGTTTTGATTACGGCACGGTAAGGCTGTGACTAACACCAGGATAATTGTTGAGACTATATATATGCGATCCTCGGCACCTCACTTACCTAGGATGGACTCGGATCACTAACTGGCAACGCATATCTAACCCAATTGTAGTCAAGAAGGCTGCGTAAGCCCTATCTGCAATCTACGCACGTTACGCAGTATAAACGTGCTCTATTGAGCCGTAGGGCGGAGCGGAGGTGAAGCCATATTATAGGGTTATCGAGGACGTAGCTGCAGTAGGGTGTTGCAAAAAGGGAAGTTAGATAGAAGAAATGTTGGCATTGGAGTTGTGTTATTGGTTTGTTTAAAGTAGTCTAACTCGGACTGTAATCTGTATATCTAGGTATAATGGTATAATACTACGCCATACCGCATACCGCAATACCTCAATACTACTAGCAAATACCCCGCTGCTATGCTTCTTCCTCCCCCTGCTCTTTAAAAGTCCTACGTGCGATTCCCCGCTTCCCATTCCCTAGTGATACGTCAGCTACTGGCTTTTAACTTATACGTAGTCCCATGGGTCGGATTGCGAATTCAATATATCGCTATACTCTTGATTGGCTGTCGGAACCCGAATAGCTGGAGCCTGGAGGAGCTGACGAGTTATTCTATACCCCCTTCGTATACTTATACCTTATGATGACGACACTATCCTAGTCAGTTAAGACAGGCGATAGTGTTAGTATACTCAGTCTACCCCGGACATCGTCAGCCCTAGCTATCTAGTTTGATCCGAAGTACGCGGCTCCCCGATCGAGCTCCGATTGAGTTCCGGCTCGCGTTGAAGATCCGCCACGTGAGCATGGTTCGGCGTATGATCCGGATTATCGGGCCATACGCTACGGGATACCGAACTGCGTACATAGCCGTTAAGTCTGTATAATGATGGCGTAGCTTGAATATAGATCTAACTACGGCGATATACCTAGATAGGAGGCAACAATCCCTGTGGACTATTAGCTTGTGAATAGATATATAAAGCTCTTTGTTAGTCTAACAGGAGCTTCTACTCATGGACTCATTTATTGAATTACTCATATGCTAGTGTTTTAAGGCTCCGACGGGTCCGGGGTGGATTTATTAAGCTGTGTCTGAAGTCTCTAGTCATGCGGAATACAGGTGCAATCTCATAGAGGCGATAAACTTCCCCCCTCTGGAAAAATGCGCCTAGGCTAAGACCATAGTTTAAATGCAGTCTATGAATCAATATCCATACATGGTTATATGTCAATTGCCCTCTTGAATCATATACAGTCTTTCCGATGTTCTGTGAATAAGACACTGTGAATCTTTAGTGAGATTTAGCCCTTCTCTCCTAGCGCCAAATCTCAGTAGCTAGTATTCTCAATCAGCCATAAGCAGATTCAAGATAATGTACAGTAACATAAATATCTATATCTTATTTGTATCTTACTTATCTATGAACATTCACTTTAGTCGAGTGACCCCATTTGAGTAAGGATTTAGATTGTTGAGTAGTGAGTGATGGGATGAACCCAGAGTGCCTAACCCACGGTAAGGGATAATAGGGGTTACAACTGGGTTACTGTAGTATTACCATTTTCCTTCGAGCTTGATTTTTTTTTTTCAATGCCACAATGCGGCAAAAAGCCAATGCTGACGCTATTGAATATCGTCGATATTTGGAATTTGGATATTACAGCCCTCGGAGATGAAAGCATCATCGTCTAAAGCTATCAGAGGGACGTTGCCACACGGAAGTGAATGTCTCTGGAGCATTGAACAACTTGGAGTCGCAAACATAGTTAATGGGAGAAGGTATATGCGAACTAGAGTAGTTCAGCGTAGCTATATTGCCTGTGCTTAGTGTGCACATACATACCTACACACATATATGTTGTATATTTGGTCGTGTAAGTAAGGGGTGTTCGTGATTCGAGTTCGTACGGTCCCGACTACTAGCTAACTTGGGGTGGTACTCATTCTGGAGCTTTACAGCTCATGGTCATTTTGATATGAGCAGATATATGTAATAGATCGACTAGGCTGGGCATCAAGAAGGGAATCCCACCTTCCGTCGGGAGTTAGCATCTCGAGGCTTGTCTTGGCCGTGTTACTTTTCGTATCGCATACGAGTGAGTAGAAGTTAAAGTCGACGTGAAGAGGTACGATAGAGGTTTAATTAACCTAACTAAAGGTGTTCTAATTTACGATAGAGAGACCGTAAGATATCCCCACTAAGGGGCTACTGTTACTCTAGGTCTTCCATAGTGATGCCAATCTACTTTTCCCCATAAGCATTGCCATCTATTCGCTGGTAACACATCTTGTTTCACAGGTGTGACACGGATAGTCGAGATGGTATTTAGGCATAACTAAATGTGTCTGTGTTACGCCCAACATTTGTGTTCGTCGTGTTACCCTTCTAGAAAAGGGGTAGCCTGGCCGTTCCAGACATTACCTTAGCTATTCAACCCATTGCTCCCGACAAGTCAAATTTCGAAGAAGAGATATGAGTACCCACGATTGGGGTTCTTGGTACTAAATTCCCCGATGTTTAATGAGGATTGACCTCTGGATATCGCCTAGAACTGTGTCGTGGGGTGTCATCGAGAATCAATATAAGCCCCTCCCGCCGGCAGATGGCATATCTACCATCCCTAACGAGGTTAAAACATGCCATTCATATTCCGGTCGCCGCCTTTAGCGAGATTATATGGCGTTAATCGTAGCAAAATATCACATCGCGGAGAGTAATCCGTAGTCTTCCCTCAACTATTAACCTATCCTTACCTACCGGACTATCGTGAGAGGTTCGGGGTTGTCGGTATCCTAGTGTTACCGCACTTTACACGATGATTAGGACAGATACTTTAAGAGCGGGTCGGGATTGGACCCAGTCCGGGCCCAGGCCATGGGCGTCGCTGTTCTCGTAGTGCAGCGGAAGTTTTCTGGAGCACTCGTTGGGCCATAATCAACCACTAACCTCTCGTAACGTACGCCATAGTCGTAGCGGGTATTCGTGGCTTACTATTAGCATCGATCTACTCTCGAAGTTGGTTCCGCCACTCGAGCTGAACGATTAGCAAACAATCCCATGGTACGTTTTTGCCGTGGATTCCGGTATAATATCCCCAAGAGGGTTTCCGGAAACAGTCCACAGATCGCCAGTGGGTAGCGTATGGAAAGCTGCGAAACAACCCTACGAGCTAGCTTTACGAGCGAGTAACTGGATACCTGCTAGTGAGTATTGTGGTTCATTGAACCCTTCTGTGGCGGTTATGTGGCCCGACAATACTTTCCGGAAAGGAGTCATGCAGCCACGAGTAACACAGCAGAATCTGTCACATCGTTCTAGAAACATATTTCTTCCAAAGAACACCAATTAGGGTAAATTAGTGTGTCCTTTCCGTCCCGTCTTATCCCGATACAGAATCATCGTAGAAGCTAGGGTAGCCGCCTAAGCAGTGGCGCGTCTAGAAGTCTGCGGCTACGTCAACAACAAACGGATGACCACTGGTAGTGTAATGATGACCTGCAGTACGCTTCTAATGCGGTGATAGAATAAGAGTCGGTGAGTAGCATCGAATTCTTTACAATGAGATATTTGTGAGAACTGCCCCTTATCTCCCTCCGAACGGCGTACAATTTGCAAGCGGTGTTGACCACCGAGTAGCTGATCTCAGCATCGGCGGACAAGAGGTTGGAGTTTACATCTAAAACCGCAGTTGGCTTATTGTATCCGGTGTTTCGGACATTCCATCTTATTATAGGTCTCTATGCACTTGATATATAATGCCGCCAGACTGTCGGTAACACAACATTTTGTCATTCTGTCAGCTGTGATGTCGGTAGCCAGTGAGTGACTTAGGGGCTCCCGGGCTTATTACATGTCATTCCAAGAACTCCTGCTCACTTAAGGATTACAAACCTTCCTGATAGAAGATGTAAATAGTATTTGCCAAGGTCAATCTGTAAATAATGTGCAATATGTCGCGCAAAGATATTCATCGGGGATTATAGTATCGCCATATCTTGATTCTAAGAGATAACTCCAACTGTAAATAAAACGGAGATGCATTATTTCTATAATTCATATGTGGCTGTACTACTGTATCTTTCCTATTTTAGAGGGCGCTAATTACAATAGCTGAGATATTAGATCATATGTATAAAAGGTATTACTGATTTTGCTACCTTGTGATTTCTTAGACCTTGGCTATCTACT